GCTGCCCCAGGGCCTTTGCTCTTCTCTGAATAGGTCACACGTGCTACTGCCCCAGGACTTTTGCTCTTCTCTGAACAGGTCACACACGCCACTGCCCCGGGGCCTTTGCTCTCCTCTGAATAGGTCACACGTACCGCTGCCCCACGGCCTTTGCACCTGCCCCTGCTCCTTTGCTGTTCTCTGAACAGGTCACACACGCTGCTGCCCCGGGGCCTTTGCACCTGCCCCTGCTTCTTTGCTCTCCTCTGAACAGGTCACACACACCGCTGCCCCAGGGCCTTTTCACCTGCCCCTGCTCCTTCACTCTTCTCTGAACAGGTCACATGCGCTGCGGCCCCAGGGCCTTTGCACCTGCTGTCCCTCTTCCAGGTCTGCTCTTCCCGTGGTCACCTGCTCCCCTTGGCACTCACATGGTCAGGGTCTCCCCGACCACTCTTAGAAAATCACATTCCCTCCCCAAACCCAGCTCCCCTTCCCCCTTCTCTCCACACCACACCTTATGACCCTCTGACATGGGCATTTTAACCTCTTTCTTTGCCCCTGATGATCTGTCTTGTTTAAAACGTAAATCCCGAGAGACAGGGGTTCTGTCCCCTCCCTGCCAGGATCTGGATTGCCGGGGATGGACAGGCTCGTGGTGGTGGCTCAGGGCGTGTCTCCTGATCAGGAAAGAGAAGAAAGCACCAATTCTTCAGCCAGTCGTCACCCACAATGCCGCTTTCTGTAGACGTTGGCTATCCTCAATTTCTATGATTGAACGTGCGTAACCGTGTCAGGAGTCCGTGTGCGGCCTCCGTCTTTGGGAAGGTGAACATTTCCCCAGCTCAGATGCACATGACCCTCCATCCAGGTGGAGCTGCTTCTGCCTCCTCTCTGCCCGCAGCATGTTCTGCTCACCTCATCCCATCTGCAGAGACCCTTCTCCCCAAGAAGTCCCCTTCCTGAGGGTCCAGGAATGTTATGGGGACGTTATTCAACCCAGGACTACATCCCGATTTCTGTGACGGTCAACTATAAAAAATCAGTAAATGTGCATTTTAGATTTGATGCAATCATCCACATAATGTCTAGGTCACCTTCGCGCCAACCCACCGGGCATGTGCTTTCCCACTTTGTGTGCACAGTAGTCACCCCGGGAGTGTGCACGAGATCCTGAAGCCTGACGGCCTGATTTAGGGGGTCCGGGCTGACACAGGTGCAGATCTGTGAACAGCTGCTCCCCTGATGGCACCTGCGTGCTACTAAGGTCCGTGGTTTTGCGATCTAAGGGTCACCTTCCCCCGTCTGTTTCCCCACATCGCATCGTGGGACCCGAGCCTTGAGAAATGAGCCCAGCTTGAGGGTAGCTCTCGTGAACCGTCAACCTGCCAACGTGTGAACCTTCTCAAACTCAGCCATGTGTGTCTCAGGCATTTTCTCTAGAAGCGCGAGGGATTGGCGGGTGGAGCCTGGGGGACTCAGCCGTCCCTCCCGTGGGAGCTGTGCCACGAATTGTTCTCTCTGCCAACAGGTGGGTCTGCATCACTTCAGTGTCCTTCGTGGCTGTCAGGCCGGCCTGGCGGTGTTCATTGTCTCGACACATTAGTGCTTTTGTCTGTGCAATCGATTTTCACCACGTGAGCGGCTGTCCGCTGTGAGGGAAGCAGGGGGCTGCTCCCCCAGCTCCGCATGCTCAGGAAGTGGGAGAGGCACTGGGGTCTCCTGGTCTACCCCGCATGGGTGTGTCCTCGTCCCCCGTGGACGTGGGGACCCCAGGACACGGGCAGGTGGCCCATGCTGCAGACAGAGCATCAGGCGGTGCGTTCTGATCAAGCCCGTTGGTGTGCTCATTGGAAGCCCGTTCCATTTTCTTGTTCATAGGTTTCCATGGATGCTTTTCTCCTTAGCAATAGCCTTCATGGGGGAGGCGAGCCATGGGTGCGTGAAGGCAAGGGGTGTATCATAAATCGCTGAGTTTTCCCTTCACATTTCCTGGGAACCTCAAACTGTTAAGAGAAAATCTTGGGGCGCCCGTGTGGCTCAGTCGGTTGAGCATCCAACTCTTGGTTTCGGCTCAGGTCGTGATCTCAGGGTCACGAGATTGTGACATTGAGCCCCGTGTTGGGCCCCACAGTCAGTGGGGAGTCTGCTTGAAGATTCTCTCCTTCTGCCCCTCCCCCCAATATGCACACTCGTGCTCTCTCTCAAAATAAATAAATCCTTAAAAAAAAATAAAGTCTTTCAAAAAATACCTTTATTGAGATACACTGCACTTACCATAACGTCCACCCATGAGAAGTGTACAATGCAGCGTCTTTGGGTATAGTCACATGCATAACCATCACCACGCACAAACCTGAGAACATTTTTGCCTCCCCCCAAAAGAAACCCATTAGCTGGATTCGTTTTTGAACAACTCCTGTCCACGCAAATCCTTTTCTGTTTTCTGCCTGCGTGGTGGGAATTGCTTCTGTCGAGACGGCATCTTACTTCTTCTGGCAAGAAAGGAGGACCGTTCAGGGGTTGGTGGGCCAATATGGATGCCATGCCAGTGGTTGGCGATGTACAAAGGGATAGCCGCTGTCCATCTCCAGCTGCTCTAACATTAGAGGCCTTTGTTTACTCGTGTTCAGGACTCTGCTTCTGAAAGGGGAGGATGTGAGCACTGACCTTGGATTTTAGGCATTAGTCTTCAGCCCTTCTCAGCCCTCAATCCCATTAGTAAAGTAATCGCCTTAACGGAAGATCCCAGGGAGATCCTACCCGCTGGGATGGGGTGACCTGTCTGAGAAGGGCTACTTGCACTGTAATCACACAAATGCAAGCGGTGGCAGGTCGTTTTGTCCCTCCTGTGAGCCCCCTCCCGCACCCAAGGGTCGTTCACCATCTTACCTCCAGCTTCTGTGTAAGCACATCTCAGGCTCCGTCATACTGCACGTCGCCCACCCAACCACAGGACAAGCCCAGCTTCTTGCCACGATGGCATCGAGCGCACCCCTGGAGCCTTCCCTGCACCCCCAGACAGGCGGTGCTGCCCCCCAAATGGGGCATGGGCGAGGCGTGGTGAGCTGATGCTGAGCTCAGGATTACAGGGGTGCGGGGAGGAGGAAGGCCGAGGCCGCAGGACAGCCTCTAGATGCCATCTGGGCTTTGCTCGTAAAGTCAAGCATCAGAAAAGTCACGAGAGACACGTGAGGCACATTCCAGGCAGTGCCGGGCCATGGCTCAGGGCAAAGAAGAGGCAGGACAAACAAAAACTGGAAATGAGTTGATGAGAGTAGACTCAGATATGTGATCTTTTAATATAAATATCAAATGGTTTCGCATGGCTTATCAAGTAAATTGTGCGATTTCCACTTTTTGGAAGACTGTCTTTATGTCTCCAAAACAAAGCCAGTTGGACTGGAGCTTCAAACCTATTAAACCATAGGACAGGTACCCAGCCAAGCTGTAGCAGAATGTGGGCATGTAATAAAAGCCGAAATAAATGAATAAGATACATAAGGAAATAAGTAAGTACATAAATATGTGAATAATCACAAGAGACATAGGTAGATCAAAGATTGCTGCAAGCCTACCCAATGTCAGTTTTCCTCCTCTCCCTTACTCTCCGAATTGGAAAGGAAGAAGCCGCATTTTAATTATATGTGGGCATTTTAATTACCCACACGGAAATCACAAGACGCCTGGAAATTGTCAGCTTACTCATCGAGATTTCAGGACAGAGAATGGTGTACAAGAGTCCGCGGCATCTCTACACATCAGCAGTGAGTCCTTAGGAGGCGTCCCAGTATAGACACCAGCATCCAGAAGAGTGGAGCAATGGCTCACATCCACTCAGGGAATCTCGTAGGGCCGGGCTGTCTGTTCAGGGTCATCTCCATCGGAATACCAGGGAGATTTTTCAGTGAACTAAAGTTGTCTCCCCTACCCCTCACCTGGCTCCCCTTGGTGCTGCCGCTGTGCTTGCTGCCTCCAGGGTGTCCCCCGGATGCACAGATGCCCCATGTCTCCAGCTGTCTGCATGAAGCCTCCTGAATTTCCATCTTTGGCCTGGAAATCTTGGCTCTGGGATGATAATGTTCCCTGCACAAAATCGCTTGCTTTAATAGAGAATAGCCACATGTGACTCCCAAGGGGCCGTGCCTGGGTGGCACAGGGGCTCCTGTCGGGTGAGATCCGCGGGAAGGGGAGGTCTAGCTCGAGGGTCCTGGAGGGAGGGGAGTGGGGACAGCCCGTTGCTCTTCTCTTCTCTCTCTGGGAGCCCATTGCCCGTGTGTGGCCTCCGCTGTCCGTCGTCTGAGCTATTGCTGATGTCCCACGCACAGACAGACAGAATGCAGAGGAGAAAAGGAATCCCATGACCTTGTTTTAGAGGCCACTTTTGAGTGACACCCCTCACTAAAGTCCCTACCACACATTTTTAGCTGCGGCAAGACATGCGATTGAAAGTAATTTCAGAGTCCAAATCCATGGAATGGTTTTGGGGGCATTTGCTGGCTGTGGAAACAAAGAAGGACATGCCTTCAGACAGTGTTTTAAAGATCCTGAGCCCTGGATGACAGCTGATCTCACCCCCTCTCTTCTGCGGGTTAAATGGTGGCCCCCCAAAAGATATGTCCATGTCCTAACCCCAGCAACCTCAGGCTGGGAACTCATTCAGAAACAGGGTCTTTGCGAATGTAAGTGAAGGCTCTGAGATGAGCTCATCCTGGACGAGGGTGGCCCTAAATCCAATGACAGGTGTCCTTACAAGACACAGAAGAGGAGACACAGACACAGAGGAGAAGCCACATGAAGATGGAGGCAGAGACGGGAGGGATGCGGCCATGAGCCCAGGGTTGCCTGGAGCCTCAGAAGGTGGAAAAGGCAGGAAGGACCCTCCCCAGGAACCTCAGAAGAGAGCATAGCTCTGCCCCGCCTGGATCTCAGCAGCCCTGCCCCACCTGGATCTCAGACTTCTGGTCTCCAGAGCTGGGACAGGATAATTCCCTTGGTTTTAGGCCTATGGGTTTTGTTATGGCAGCCCTAAAAGATTAATTATACCCTCTTTGTCTCCCCATGTAAAGGGGACTAGAGACTCTTCATTACATGAAATGAGTAATCGATGCTGGTGATTAGCAAGCATATTGGTTTTGGATGCGTTCCATAGCTGATGGTGTAAGGGAGGGAGGGGAGAGATGCAGGCTATTTTAGGGCTGTGTGCACAGCAGGGACAGAAGGAGCGAGCAGAAAGGCAGCGAGTACCCTTAAGCTTTGTCATCCCCTTAATAGGGCTAATGGGATTTTCTACAGTGATCAGCCTTTGGCTTACCCTGGGCCTCCAGCAAGGAGCTCTGGCAGCACCGAGTGGCTGGCCGCCGCACCACTTGCTAACAGACCCACACTCCCTGCAGCTGGGACAACCAGGGGCTCTCAAGGCCAACTTGGCGTGGGACAAAGATGACTTCTCCCGAGGAACAGGCGTACCATCTGCTGACCGAGTACTCAAATGGGTTCATGGTCTCCCAGGTAGGAGCGTGGGGAGAACATTCCACTGAGCACTCTTGGATGCCGTTGGCGGGAGCTGGGCGAGGGCAATGGGGAGTGACAGCTTAATGGGTACACAGGGTCCCTTAGGGGTGGGATGTCCTGGAACTATGGGCAGGTGTCCGGGCAAAGGCTGGGACCCTGGGGTGTGGGGCAAAGTTTATCAAAAGACAGGGATCGAAATACTGAAAACATTCTGTGATAGGGCGATAGAGGGGCTCGTCCATTAACACACTAAAAAGCACGGTGATGCATTTAAACTAGAGGTGCGTCTGGGGGTCCGTCCACAATGTAGCACGCATCAATATCTCATCCCTTCCTCTGACTGAGTACATATTATCCTGGGTGAAAATGGGAGACACAGAGACCCAGGTGGTGTGTGATTCCATTTATATGAAACATTCAGAATATGCAAATCCATAGAAACAGAGTGGTGGTCGCCGGGCACTGGAGAGGGACTGCCAGTGGGGATGGGCTCTCCTTTTGGGGGGATGAGAATGTTCTGGAATCAGACAGAGCTGGTGGTTGCACAACGCAGTGAATGTGCCAAACGCCCCTGAGTTATTTCGTTTACAGTGGTTAATGCCGAATCTCCTGCTATGCGAATTTAGTTCCATAAAAGAGTAGAGGCAAGTTATAATTAGATTTTATATATATATATTTTGTATAGTCCTTCATTTATTTCTTTTGTTAAATTTTTTTCAAAATTTTTTACTTAAATTCAAGTTAGTTAACATAGAGTGTATTACTAGTTTCAGGGATAGAATTTAATGATTCATCCGTTGCATATCACACTCAGTGCTAATTATATCACGTGACCTCCTTCATGCCCATCACCCAGTTACCCCATTCCCCACCCACCTCCCCTCCAGCAAACCTCAGTTGTTTCCTAGAGTTAACAGTCGCTTGTGGTTTGTCTCCCTCTCTGACTTCACCTTATTTTATTTTTCCTTCCCTTCCCTTATGTTCATCTGTTTTATTTCTTAAATTCCACACATGAGTGAAATCATACAGTATTTGTCTTTTTCTGACTGACTTACTTCACTTAGCATAATACCCTCTAGTTCCATCCACCTCATCGCAAATGGTGGGTATTCGTCCTTTCTGATGGCTAAGTAGTAGTCCATTGTATCTATGGACCACATCTTCTTTATCCATTCATCTGTTGAAGGGCATCTCGGCTCCTTCCACAGTTTGGCTATTGTGGACATTGCTGCTATGAACATTGGGGTGCAGGCGTCCCTTTGGATCCCTACATTTGTATTTTTGGGGTAAATGCCCAGTGGTGCAATTGCTGGTTTGTAGGGTAGCTCTATTTTTAATGTCTTGAGGAACCTCCATACTGTTTTCCAGAGTGGCTGCACCAGCTTGCATTAGATTTTATATTTTAAGGCTCCACCGGTGTCAGGGCTGTGGGATGAGGATCTTAGCAGTGGGGGGTGGTCTTTGGTGGGACGCACGCATGCTGTGCTGGAAATCTCTGGGGTCCAGGCGCTGAACATGTCTATATGGACAGTTGTGTGGATGCAGAGGGCAGGAGAGCATTCAAAGCTCCCCGGCTTTTTGCAGTGAAACTCTAATTTTGAGAACACACAGCTTCACCAGGTAGTGGCTGAGCATCCACGAGGCGGAGAGATACCCAAGGACGGCAGTCGCTGGGGCAGAGGGTCTGGGGCTGCAAGATTGGGGTGATGTGTGCAGCCAGTCGAGTCCAAACTCGAAGGAAACCATGGTGCCGTGTGGGTGTCGGTTGTATTTCAAGTGCCCTGTGGCAGATATCGCGAGACACAAAGGTGTCTTGGCTTCCCTCGGTCACTGACTCGCAGGTATTGTAATACTACGGTGCTTTGCGCTTGATTCATAATCGAAGAGGGTGCTGACTTTGGGTGGAGGTCACTGAATATTGAAGCAGAATGTCTTCCCCAACCGAGCTCACGGATCCCCCCAGATTTGGTCTGTAGACCCCCAAGGGTTAAGAATTCCTATTGTAGAGCCTTTGAGATACGGAAAAGGAGCATCCTTCTACAAAATAATCATCATGATTTGCTGTGTTTCTGTTGCTTGAAGATGTGACTGACTTGTGCTCACAAGATGTTTCCTGGCCAGCTGGGGCTGTTTGCTCCTCGCTCACACTGGTGTTGGACAGGTTATAAATCTTGGGAGGAAAATCCCATTCAGTACACGTGAGGATATGTTACCTAGTTGTCACGAGTTTAATAGAAGAAGATGGAACACAACCTTCACAGAATAAAACTTAATATGACCTTGACAGAATAATACTTAATACGACCTTGATACAATAAAACCTAGTATGACCTTGATAGAAAACATCTTAATAGGATCTTGATAGAATAAAACATAATACAATCTTGATAGAATTATACTTAATACAACCTTGATAGCGTAATACTTAATATGACTTTGATATAATAAAACCTAATATGACCTTGATAGAATAAAACCCAATAGGATCTTGATACAATAATACTTAATATGACCTTGATAGAATAAAACTTAATATGACCTTGATAGAATGACTTAATAAAATCTAAATACAGTAGGAGTTCACACAACCTTAGTACAAGATGTCATATAGTCATAACAGGAGTTAATGCAACCTTAGCAGTGTAAGAAATAATATACCTTTAACCGAGCAAGAGTTAATACCGTCTTGATAGAATAAGACTTGAAACAGCCCAAGTTAAAGCAGTTTGTGCACTGTTAATAGAAGAAAAGTTCATACAACATTAATAGGACAAGTTAATAAAACCCTCATAGAATAACAAGGAATGGAACCCTCAAAAGAGTTGATCCAATCTTAATAGAATAAGAGTTTGTGTTCCCCTCACAGAACGCAAAAGGAAGCAACATTAACAAGACTTAATATGAGCTTAGTAGAATTTTATAGATGGAGCGTACAAATAACCTTGATAGAACTTTACTCCAGTGATTCTCAAATGGGGACTTGGCCCCCAGGGGCTACTCAGCAAGGTCTGGGGATATTTTTGGTTGTCATGGCCAGGATAGGGGTGCTCCTGGCTTGAGGTGGGTGCAGACCACGGACGCAGCTCTATACCCTACAGTGCCCAGGACGCCCCACCCCAGACAGCCAGTCAGCCCCAGATGTCAGCTGTGCTGGGGTCCAGAAACCCTGCTTTCATGGAATAAGAGTTAAGAGGACCCTACTCACAGAATAACAGCAAATGCAGTATCACCCCTCACCACCACGGCCGCGCGCGTGTGTGGTGTAGGGCTTTCCGTGTGCTCAGTGAAAAAGCAAACACCAACCTACTTACTTCCTCACATAGGATGGAGATGGGTCTTACCTTTATTCACGTTCATGCACGTATGGGACCAGTGCTGATCACTGTGTGGAGTGAGTGCCGTGGGACGCACCTGGGCTCCAGGACCATCTGTGCACGTGGGATGTGAGTGTGTGTGTCCATCCTGGCCACTATCAGTGAGGCCGCCCCAGCCTTGGCACCACCCATCCAAACACTGTGTGCAGGAGGGGAAAAAATGCATTGACTTATCCATGTTTTATACTTTATGCGTTATTTTCAGGTACGACCTGCTAAGTTCGTTAAACAGATAAACGGAAGAAAATACATTTTAAGACACTGACAGTGTGGGGAACACTGACCTCTGAACAGCAACAACAAAACGTAGTATATGTATTTCCTTGTTTGCAAAATTAACACAACCCAATTTAAACATTTTATTTTACATTTTCAAAGTTAAATTAAAAATTTTAATGAGCTTAAACATTTAATTTGAAAATTTTCATTCCTTAATTTTTTAAAAATTCTTTATTTTTTTGAAAATTTTATTGTTTTTAAATAGACATAACATAAATTTTACTATCTCCACCATTTTTATGTGCACAGCTCAGGGGCATTGAGCACATTCACACTGTTGGGCAACCACCCCCCTCCATCCATTCCAGAACTTTCCATCTTCCCAACTTGAAGCTCTGTCCCCATCAAACACTAACTCCCCATCCCTGTCCCCAGCCCTGGCGCCACCATCTACTCTCTGTCTCTGTGGATGGGACTCCTCTATGGACCCCGTATACGTGGAATCACACAGGATTTGTCCTTCTGTGTCTGGCTCATGTCACTCAGCACCATGTCCTCAAGGTCACCCATGTCATAGCAGGTGCAGAACATCCTTCCTTTTCAAGGCTGCGTCATATTCCACTGTGTGCGTGGACCATACTTTGCTCATCCATTTGTCCATTGCTGCATGCTTGGTTCTTAAATGTTTTGGGTACTGTAGATAATGCATCAGTGAACATGGGTGTACTAGTATCTCTTCCGGTCTCCACTTTCAGTTCTTTTGGGTCCATATGCAGAATTGGAATTTCTGGTTTCTACGGCCACTCTATGTTCGATTTTTTAAGGAACTGCCATAGCGTTTTCCATAGCAGTGCAGTGTCCCCTGAAAACGCACCCCTGGCTGCCCATGGTGAGTACGGTTCCTAGGACACTCAAAGCTGGCCCCTTGTTTCCGAGGTTCTGTTTGCCGCCTGTGAGCTGGGCGTGTTTGACCTTCTGGCTGAGGCCCCAGAGCCCCTGGGTGCGGCAGCAGTGGCTGCACGGCTGGGCACCAGCTCCTGTGGGACAGAGCTCCTGCTGGACACCTGTGTGTCCCTGAAGCTGCTCCAGGTGCAAACAAGGAGGGGAAAAGGTAAGCACGTAGACATTATGTAAGTGAATGGGCATGGCTGGGTGTCAATAAAACTTGATTTACAAAGACAAGCGGTGGGCCAGGTTTAGTGCCCAGGCTGTACTTAGCTGTCCTCATTCCAGAGAGGTCTCCACATGCTGGTGTGCACATTGGTACCCTCCTGAAGTATCCAATGAGCAAGAAAAAAATGGGGAAAAACATCACATCGGCGTACTTCTCAATCAAACTAAATTTATCCAGCTAAAGGGTTGCCATTCTTTATATTACATTTTTCTCTTATGGAATATGGTGGTGGTAGGTTTTTTTTTTTTATGTCCTTACTTTGCAAAATTCAAAGTTTCAACTCTATGTCACTCATTCTGACCATTTTTAGAATTGTAGATTCATGAAATTGCAAATGTAGAGAGCATTGCTTGAGCCAGAGCACATGAGAACAGGAGTGTTGGCCCGGCTGTGGCAGCCGTGGTCTGTGGCCTTTGTGATTGCGGCATAGAGTCATGCACCAGTTGGGGTTCTGGGGTGCAAATACCAGGGATGGGTTAACTTGAGCATGCTATGGGGTTGACGGCTCTCAGGTACCTGGGTGTGGAAATCAGGCAGGTACAAGGGTGCAAGCCATCTGCAACCACCACCAGTCACTCCCTGAGAACAGTCTTTGCACATCACACGTACTGGGGTGGCTGACCCTGAGCTTGGAGGACCCTGACCCAGGAGGACACCTCGGTCAGGAGACATTGGGTGCAGGGGGATGCTACTGGAGGTGGCGTCTGGCACAATTATCAGTTGTCCTTTGGCCCTGGGGCATTAGGTTGGTGCCAACACCCAGCTGGGGACCACCCCATGCAACACAGCGGGGGCTCTGTGGGAAGCAGCGTCCCCAGGAGAGGAGACGGGGAGGTAGGCTCAGGCATGGGACTGGCCATTTGCAGATGCTGCAGGATGGGGGAGCTCACAGTGGGGCATCTGCCCAGAGAGCACCGGGGCTGTTGTGGGCCTGGGTCTGCACATCCTCCCCAGGGCTTTGTTAAAATGAGGACATTCACCGGGGTTGGCTGCCTACTGCTTGGCTGAGCGTGGCAGAAAGGCAGCCCCTGCTCCATCAACATGATTCCAGTTTTGGAGATCGTTGTATCACCAGTAGAGTGTATATCCAAATCAGGTGTTATTTTAAAGCCCAGGGATTGTATTATAGGGTTCCCCGTCCGCTCACTTGCCCTTCCCACCTGCTGCACCACACTTTCCAATGGGATTTGCCAAAACAGAATCGAGCAGGTGCGCCACCCTGCTCCTCGGGCATGAGGCCCCAGCTGTGGCTGCAGGCCTTTTGATGCCCCTAGGCGAGAATCCGCTTTCAGCCCTGATATTGCCGATGCTGGCATCAGCACATGGCAAGGACTTGGAATCTAACTTGGACTTGGAATCTAACTTAGCCTTTTGTGTTCTCTGTGTTTGTTTTCAGCTTTGTACCAAAACACAGAGCTCTCCAGCACCTACCTGGTCAGGGCCAGTCTCAAGTGCCAGGCCAACATGCTGCGGTACCTGGCCAGGACGACATATCTGTGCTGGGGCCACGTGGCCCAGGCCGTGAGGTGGGCATGGCCTCGATGGTGTGGACTGTGCGCCGGGGCTCCCTGGGGGCTGGTTTCAGGGGGTCTGTGCAGCTGAAGTGCCAGGTTCCTTGCAGAATCAAACACGACGCTGCTAGGTCTGGATAATCCAGAGCAGTTGTGAGAAACCCCCATGGTCCTGGCTGAAGGAATTCACAAAATGCAAATCTGCTCAATTAAGAGTCCTTGTGCTTCAGTGGTCTCCAGGGAAAGGGCCTGGGGCTGAGGAGCAAAGCGGGGAAGATGGCACACAAGACACTGCCCGAATCATGCTGGTTGCGCGCCCCACAACTGCTCTTGGGCTCTGTGCTGTGGGTGTCTGGGGCTGGATGACTCTCTGAGGTGGGGCGTCCTGGGCTGTGCAGGGTGTGGAGCAGCACCTCTGGTCTCCTCCCACCAGGTGCCAGTACAATCTCCCCCGTCGCGATAATAAAAAAATGGCCCCAGACATCGACAAGTGCCTCTTGGAGGCAGAATCACCTGCAGTTGGGAACCAGTGACATAGATGTATGGATACATAGATGGGCAGGTAGATAGGTGGGTAGGTAGATAGATATAGGGATGGCTGGATGATCATATAGGGATGGCTAGATGGGTGGATGGATGATGGATGGATGGATGGATGGATGGATGGACGGATGGATAGATGATTGATAGATATAGGGATGGCTGGATGATCATATAGGGATGGCTAGATGGGTGGATGGATGCATGGATGGATGGATGGATGGACAGGTGGATGGATAGATGATAGGTAGATATGGGGATGGATGAATGGATAGATATCATGGATGGATAGATACATAGATAGTATAGGGATGGATGGATGATAGTATAGGGATGGTTAGATGGATGGATGGATGGATGGATGGATGGATGATTGATACATATAGGGATGATGGATTATAGATGGTAGATTCATAGATAGATAGATACAAGGATGGATGGATGGTTGAATGGACAGGTGGATGGATGGATAGATGGTTGGATGATGATAGTTATAGGGATGGATGATAGATAGATGATAGTTGAATGGATGGACAGCAAGCCAGATGGATGGATGATACATAGATATAGGGATAGATGGATGGATGATAGGTAGGTAGGTAGGTAGACAGATTGATAATAGATGGATATTGATGGATAGGTATTGATAGATATTAATAGATAATAGATGAATAGATATTGATAGGTACAGATGGATATTGATAGATATGAATAGACATATATAGATATTGATAAATAGGTATAGATAGATGTCAGATACTGATAGGTACTGATAATAGCACAGTAAGGCTTCTCCTGCCCCCGGATGCCGACCGATGAGTCCTGTGGACATCAGTGTCCCCTGACCGCACATCATTTTCGAGCTTCCTTTACACTGTCTTTAGAACCCGCTCCTTCCTTGCCCACATGGCAGAGCCAGGCTAGACGTGCAGCCTGCCTCTCTGAACATGTGTGTGTTCCGTCCCAGAAGGGGGTCCGAGCATGTGGTGACTGAGTCCTGTCCCCTGCTTGTTCTGTGTGTGGTGGGAGGTGAGGATGTGTGACCCCACGCGTGCGTGCTCCCTGAACGTGGCAGATCCTGGGTGACCGCGTCCTGCCTGTTTGCAGGGACGGCAAGAACCAGTATCAGGAGGCATTTGGGGTTCCCTCTGACGAGCTGTTCACCGCCATCTACAGGTAACGCCGAGCGCCCACGCATGCAGGGTGACGCTTCCTTTCCACACACTCACTGGGCGGAATACGTGGGTCCAAACGGAGCAAAACAGAGGGACGTTGATATTTAAAATTAAAAAAAATAAAAAAAGACAGATTTGTTTGTGTTTGTCAGTGTCCTGAGCAGGCGGGAATCTGTCCTTACCCCCAAGGTGCTCTACGTGAAGCAACAGTGATGTAGAAAAATGAGGAATGGGTTTTGCTTGGGCCAGAGTTACGCAGGTAGTAGGTCAGCTCTATGCACACACACGGGGCTGCTCTTGGCGTGGGGTCTGGTACCACAGTCCCCAGGTGGCGATGCCCCAATGGCTCATTGCAGGGTTCCTCGCTGGTCGAGGACCGGGAAAGGGGAGAAGGATGGGCATGGGGTGCGGAGTCCTCAGGGCTGGTGCCTGTGCTTTGCCCGGTGCCTCTCCTCCCGTCCTGTGCTTTGCCCGTTTCCAAGACCCCTGCTCCGGCCACAGCTTCTCCCCTGATTTGGGTATCCACACGATCTTGATGAGCGTGGTTTCGCATGCAGATCTGAGGGCGAGCGGCTGCAGGTGATGCGAGGTCTGCAGGACGTCTGGAGCATCAGCGGGAGGCATGTGCTGGCCGCTTTTGACCTGTCCCCGTTCCCGCTCATATGCGACATTGGTGGTGAGTGTCGGCCCCACGCATGGAGCCGTGTCTTAGGGCTAGGGAGGGAAGACAATGGGGATCCCATTTAGGATCGGGGACAAGGCATCCCGTGCGCATCCCACAGTCTGTGGGGTTCCAGCTCCTCCCCGAACATGGCGCACCCTCCGTGGTTCTGACCCCATGCATTAGGGCCGGACCAAGAATCTCTGCTCCTAGGGACGCGGATGCTGCTGGGGCCCGGGCCACGCGGCTGTAGACATTGGCATTGCTCAGCGTGACAAGGGAGGCTTTAGAGGATGGTGGGGTGCAGCCGTCACGGAGCTCCTGGAAAGCAGTTAGCAAAGCCATCAAATCGACCTTCCCACGCTGCCTTCCCGGGGCAGGCAAAGCGTCGTGTGGGGCTGCAGGGGTCCACCGGGTTTTCTGGGCTCTGAGGGTCCTGATACTAACATGGATGAGAAGGATGCCCACATCTTCAGCGTCTCCCGTGGCTGAAGGCTGGGCGTGGCATATCCTAGAGCAGATGCAGGAGTACTGGGTGTTGATCATCCCTGTCCTAAAGGGTGGAAATGTGGGCTTCGGTGGAGGTGGAGGTGGGGCAGCCAGATCTAACCCCTGGTCCCTTTCAAGCGAATGCTCTTGCCCTGACCATCCCATGCTGGTCCCATAGAGGAGGCATGGGGAGCATGAACCCCATGAGATGGGGATTCAGGGGCTCCAGACACTGAATGATGTTTGCCTGGGTGCATGTTCTGGGGGTGAAGCCATCCTGATGTGGCCCTCCCGACGTGGGCATGGCTCCATCCTTTGAGCAACACAATGGCTCGCTGGTTTGGGCTGAGCTGCCTGGGATGCAGACAGGCTTCAGGCTGCATCTAGGGGGCCCCCAGTCATTGGTCCCCAGATCTGAGATGCTCAGACCATAGCCAACATCACGGCAATGTCCCCCCGCCGTCTCGGGCAGCAGGACGCCATGACTGGGAAACTTGATGTGGTTTATTCAAAAGCGGCCCCTGTGCCTGGCTCTCTGTGTGACTTTGGGCACGTTCCGTGGTCTCTCTGTGCCACAGAATCCTCGGGTAATGGGGCAGTCCCCACATGGGACAGTTGTGGTGCCCAAGTGCGTGTCTGCCTGTGAGTCACGCAGAATGGGATCATCGTGGTCAATGGGTTGGTCCAGCCAGGAAGATTCGTAGATTCAGGTGCTCATAGGTGATGATGGAGCCGTGAAGACCTCCATGGGGGGCAGAACCACATCCCCCATGTGGATGCCCCCTGGGGGTCGATGGTGGGCCAAGGCACATGCTGCCCACACATTCTTGTCCGTCTGTCCTGTTCTGTGTCCACTTCCAGGCTGTTCTGGGGCTCTGGCCAAGGAGTGCACCTCTCTGTACCCTGGGTGTCGGGTCACCGTGTTTGACATCCCCGAGGTGGTACAGATGGCCAAGAAGCACTTCTCATTCCTGGAGGAAGCGCGGATCAGCTTCTGTGAAGGTGGGTTGTTTCCATGGGCTCTGCGTGTGCACGGGGAATCATAGATGCATCCCCCGGGGGCTCAGGTCGGGCCGAGGATGCACCTCGGGCATGGCTTCCTCCGCCCTGCAGGCAACCACCCTCAACTTAGAATTATTGTTGGTGATGCTTGGAAAACGGTGTACAGCTGGATAGTTTTCATACACTTAGTTCTTTCTTGAGTATTTGGCTGGATTGAAGAGGTTTCCTCAAAATTTGTGTCCACCCAGAATTTGTGAACGGGGCCTTATTTGGAAACACGGTCTTTGCAGATGTGATGAAGTGAAGGATCGGGGATGAGCTCATCCTGGATCAGGGTGGCCCTAAATCCAATGACAGGTGTCCTTGTAAGAGACAGAGGAGGAGACACACACACAGGGGAGAAGCCACGTGAGGACGGAGGCAGAGACGGGAGGGATGTGGCCACAAGCCCAGGGACGCCTGGAGCCCCAGAAGCTGGAAGAGGCAGGGAGGACCCTCCCCTGGAGCCTCTGGAGGGAGCACGGTCCTGCCCCGCCTGGATCTCAGCGGCCCTGCCCCGCCTGGATCTCAGCGGTCCTGCCCCGCCTGGATCTGAGACTTCTGGTCTCCAGAGCTGGGAGGGGATGAATTCTTGTGGTTTAAGCCGCAGCTGGTGTTGCTTTTCTTACTCAGCCCCCAGGACATGCATGCAGGTGTCTAAATCCAAAGCACCAATGGATGACAGTACATGAACTGGGTTAAAGGGAAGCTCAGGGACATTTGCTGACTCAGATCAGGGAGACTCGGCATTCTGAGGCTCAGATGCTACCATCATGGCTGGGATCGTGCACCTGTAGGGTTGAATACTGTCTTTATGTAATATTCCCAAACTTTGACCATCAGGGATATTGGAGGGGCCTTAATGTTCATTTTTAAAAACATTGCATTAAAATATTATATATATAATATATATATGTAATTTTATAAAAATATAAAATCTTATATTTTAAAATATAAGAAACCTGACCAGGTTTGGGGCCCCTTAAATTTTGCACACATGGAGAGTGCCTGACTCTCCTTACTCCAAACCTGGCCTCCGGGAGTCTTTATCACACGTCTTGGAGAGGATGATCGACTTATTTATGTTCTTCATCTGGAAAATGGGAGAAATACACCGACGTCAGAGGTTGGGGGTTCAGGCGAGAAGAGTGGATTACTTTGTTATTACACAGCTGAGCTGGGCTTTTGATGTCTCTGCCGTTGCTCGTGAAGGGAAAGGTGGTGGAAGCTTCCCGTGTGTTCTTCATCTTGGGGTCTGGATTGTCTCCTTCACCTGCTGCGCACAAACAGATGGCCCACCGAATGTGGCCCTCAGGCCAGAGTTTGCCGACCCCTGTCTTCTGTCGCTGACGGAAGAAAATCGGTTTGGAGAACTCCCCCTTTGCTCTGCCCTATCTCATGGGGGCAAATGTCTGTGGGCCCTGGATTTCCTGGGAGCCTCAGAACAGGGCAGAGTGATGGACTGACCAGTGCAGCCTCCAATGCATACTCTTCCCGAATTCCTGTGAATTTGTAGAGTTGGGACAACATTCGGCTGCTGGTTGACCCAGCACAGCACAGGGCTATCCAAGATTTTTTTCCAAAATTGGTACTTCTTGCAGAAAAAATATTATAAGAGTTCAGTGTTTGACACCATGTATGCATGGAGGGTCCTTCTTGGGCATTTTTTTTTTTTCCAAGCAGGAAAACATGCATCAACTGTTGATTTACTTCAACTCATCGGACAGGAACTGCTGACCGATTGCTTGGGGTCTCCTGAAATCCATGGCTTAGAGAGCCATTTACTTGCAACCTTAGGAAATAAGATAAAAGGAAAATCATTTTTCAGATCTGAAGGACGGAAAGGGACGCCAAACACCATTCCGAATTTTCTTGTCTTCACTGAGACTTCCTTTTGTTCAGGACTAGGTCTTCCTGTCACAGCTCGGAAGATCTGGGGACAGGTCCACAGAGCTAGGTGACTTTTCCATCCTGGGTGCAGGTGTAGTCACACGGGATTGAGTGGCAGGCTGACCCCAGGGCACCTGCCTGTGTTATAGGGGATTTCTTTAAAGACCCGCTTCCGGAGGCGGATCTGTACATCCTGGCGAGGGTCCTGCATGACTGGACCGATGCGCGGTGCTCACACCTGCTGGCAAGGATCCATCGTGCCTGCAAACCAGGTAGGTCATGGGGCCGTGTGTCCACGTGCGCTTGTGGTACATTCAGGGTGGGATTGTGCTAGACTCTTCATTTGGAGGCTAGGTACTGAACGCACGTGACAGGTAAGCAGGGTCATGCTCCCAACTGGCTTCCCTTCTGGATAAGTCATTAAAACAAAGCGACAGTAGTACCCATTCTGTAACTAATCCCAGATAAAATTGCAGAACATGGAAGGCTCCCATGGTGCACACCTCGCTGGGTCAAACCCCTGTGTACCGTTAGGGTAGGGGGCATTTTGCGCACCTGCTCATCTCACCGTGCAAACTTGGCTGGTGCCCAGGGGGTGTCCTGTGTGCACGCATTCTACACATGAGGATGGAAGGCACCCAGGACGGTGGGAGAGATGGATGGGCTGGGGGCTGGGGCAGCCAGCCTGGAAGGTGGAGTGGGGGTCCTCAGGCTGGCTCGTCCCTTGCTCACGGCCGCCTCTCCCTGTCGCAGGTGGCGGCATCCTGGTGATTGAAAGCCTCCTGGATGCAGATGGGCGGGGCCCTCTGACCACGCAGCTGTACTCGCTGAACATGCTGGTGCAGACGGAGGGCCGGGAGAGGACCCCCGCCCAGTACCTCGCGCTCCTGGCTCCTGCTGGCTTTCAGGACTTCCAGTGTCGGAGAACCGGGGGCATTTACGATGCCATCCTAGCCAGGAGGTAGCTCCCCGTGGGTCTGCAGCGACCGGCCCAACTGAGCACCCTCACAAATGGGGGGTCTCTGTTAGCTTCCTCATTTCTGGGGGGCTGACAAGGGAGTGGGGGGCCTCTGATGACTGTCGTCAACCGCCCATCACTCTGTGGATTTTGTCTTGTTCCGTTTTATTCTAGTCTATGTCTTCTTTTCTATTCTATTCCATTCCGTTCTGTTTCATTCTGTTCTATTTTGTTCTCCTCTATTATGTTCTCTTAAAAAAGGTTTTATTTATTTCTTTGACAGAGAGAGTGAGCAAGAGCGAGCACAAGCAGGGGGAATGGCGGAGGGAGAAGGAGAAGCAGGCTCTCTGCGGAGCAGGGAGCCCAGCGTGGGGCGCGATCCCAGGACCCTGAGGTCATGACCTGAGCCGAAGGCAGACGCTTCACCGAATGAGCCCCCTCATCTACTCTGTTCCACTCCGTTCCATTTCTGTTGTATTCTATTTCATTCTGTCCCATTTTCCAGCTTTCTGGCAGTATAACTGACACAATTATTTATGTTTAAGCTGTACAACATGGTATTTCGATGTACGTACGCATTGTGAACTGATGGCCGCAGTCGAGCTAATCCACACGCCCCACACCTCACATGGTGACCTTTTCGTTGTTGTCGCTGAGAACATTTCAGACCCGCGGTCTTAGCAATGCTCAAGTGCACGATAGTTAATCATAATCACCATCAACGTTAGGTCCATAGGACCCATTCCTCTTCTCACGGAGAGTTTGTGCCCTGTGACCCCCATCTCCCTGTTTCTCCCCCCGCCCCTGGCAACCCCCTTTCTGCTCTCTGCTTCTGTGACTTCCACTTTTGTAGGTTTTGTCTCTCTCTTAGATGTGGCAGGTGCATTTCACAGGCTGCGTTTGGGGCAGCACTGACCGCAGTGGACACGGGACCTCTGCACCTTCGGCCCCTTCACCCATTTCACCCACACCCCACGTCCCACGTCTGCAAACCATGACTCTGTTCCCTGCATCGATGAGCTTGCTTCTTTGTCATTCACAGTCCACGTAGAAGTGAGGTCATACGGTATTTGTCTCTCTCTATCTCACTTGGCACAGCAATGCCAATTTTAATGTTTCTTTTGGTGTGGCACGAAATTTGCCATTTTAGCCTTTTTTTCTTTTTAGGTGCTCAGTGCAGTGGCATTGAGTGCATTCACATTGCTGTGTAACCGTCTTCACCATCCATCTCCAGAACTTTCTCATTTTTAAACTGAAGCTCTGCCCTCATGAAGCATGAACTCCCTATCCCCTCCCTGAGACCCTGGCCCCCACCATCGTATGCTCTGTGTCTATGAACTTGCCTGTTTTAGATTAAACTGCAATATCTTAACAATGGATGTCTCCATGTGTGTGCGTTGTCCCCCCAAATTGTAACTTCTTGAGCAGCAGGTAGGATTTTCTGCCCTGAATTTAGGTGTTGAGTGGCCCAGACAAGGCAATACCCATCCCACAAACTGGAAAGTGCTATGGGATTTAGGGAATGAAGACTGGCAACCCATGACCTCAAGGTGGCTCATTAAAGTGTATGGTGCAGGGAGTCCAGCCAGTCGGCTTAAAGCCGAAATTGTTCCTGGGTGCAGCCATGCCTGGGGAGGTGAGCTGTGGTCACCCTGGTGCCGGGGTCCCCGATCTCAGCATCCGTGGCCAGTCAGCACTCACACACTTGTCTCCGAGACCCGGACGCAACACCTCCTGGTCCAGATCGTTCTTTTAACCGCCACGGGGCTGCAAGGGAACCCGTAGATAACCTTGAAGCTGTCGGAGGTCCCTGCAAGCAGGAAGGGCACAGCGTTGGCAATTTCTATTCCCAGGACTTGCATTCAAGAGTGACCTGACCTTGGGCAGGAGACCGGCCTTGTTGGACCTCCAGCCTTCACATTTAAGAGCGGGACTGGGTAATCTACAAATCCCTGTGTATCTTAGACCTTCTGTGAGTCTGGATGCATTGAAACCAGTGGTTCTCAAATGGGGGTGATTTTGGTAATGTCTGGAGTCATTCTTGGGCGGTCCAGTGGGGAGGAAGTCCTGCTGGCGTGTGGACTGGAGACCAGGGACGCTGCTCATCACCCTGTAGTGCCCAGGATGCCCCAGAGAGTGGTGCAGCCCCAGGGGTCCACAGTGCCGAGGCTGAGAGGAGCCAGGTTAAAATGTGGCCCCACCGGAGCTTCGCTGATGCTCATGGCTCTAGGAACAAGGTTGGCTTCTAGGGACGTGCAAAGGTCTGCCCGGCCCTGGCTGGCTGAGGGCTCGGGTCAGGCTGATCTCACAGCAGGACGGCTGGAAGCCTGGCCCAGGGAAGGTCCGCTTCTCCTTCTGGGGATACGGGGACGAGCAGGGGTTGCAAGGACCTTCCTCAGATGGTGCCAACCAGCTCCTGGTTTGCAGAGTGTGTGCTTGCCGGCGTTGGTCCGGCCTCCGTGGGGCCAGGTGGACTCGCCAGAAGCCACCCTCTAGGACGCCAGCAGGCACCTGCTTTGGCTTCTTCCCCATTGCTTCTCAGGACAGCCTGCGGGGGAGGAGATGTGTGTAGCCTCCTCCTGCTGCCACGGCGACCGTGGACCGCTCGGGATGGGGATGCCCGTCTGGCAGCAGGTGGCGCCGTGGGGCAGCTGATGGAACAGGCTCCAGCATCCAGCAAAGGCACCAAATCCTGGAGACAGCGGGGTGACCCCCCCCCAAGAGAAGCAGCCTTTATTCCTTTAAACGTCCAGTGTCACGAAAACCAGAACAATGTCCAAAAGTACATTTTCATCATTTTTTGCTGTAAAAGACAAATGCCAATTAATACAAATCCTAATACAAGTCAGTCTTGTACATTGAGAGCAAGGGACGTCTTGCTTCCCGATGTAAATAAGGGACAGCACCCTCCCACCTTCCTTTTCTCAGAGCATTTGCTTCTAGAGAGTTCTTTCTCCGTCTTCTGCAAATGTGCACATTTTCAAGAAGCCTGGGGCTGGTCTCAGGGCTCTGGGACCTGGGAGCCTCTCTGGAAAGTGGTTGAGGAACAAAACACCTTTCTCCCAGTTTGCTGGTTGGGGGCGGGGGATCAGCCATGGTGACAGCCGTCCTGCTCACTCTCCCACAGGATCTTCAAACGAGGGGGCAACAGAGGCACAAGCAGAACATTTCCGTTAATTCACGTCAATTAGCAGGATGTTGCAGTCCGTGATTTTTTTAGCAAAGCGTCTCGTGAGGAATCCCTTCCAGGACAGGTGCGCGTGCAAGGTGGGGAACGTTGCTTCCTGCCTCCCCGCTCTGTCCCACCGCAGACGCTGCTCTGGGGTCAGATCCCATGAGTTTCCTGCGTTGTGTGCATGCTCTGAGCTCGGTCTCCTTCCTGGCTGCCCGGCAGACTTGACAAATGAGCCTGGATAGGATGAGCCCCCCCTGGACCGGATCTGGGTTTCAAAGACCCATCGTGGGGGAACGACACCAGACCAAAAGGTTCTCATCGCGTTTCTCATTGAACAAACGTGTTCCCGAGCAGCGTCCATGATGCTGGGATGGTGGTGGGCTGGGGGGCGTTGCAGACAATGAAACAAGGCACACAGCCAATGTCACATCAGGGCAGGGGGCTGGTCAGCCACACCGAAGCCCCGTCTTTCTTCCTTCGCTTGCAAACTTGGTGCTTCCCCGGTTTGTGGAAAACAATCAGGTGCTTGGAGACATTTTAAAAGCGCATAAAAAATAGTGCAAAACAAAAACAAAACAACCCCAAACCAGTGACCCACGCTACAACAGAGACGAACCGAAAACACATCATGCTCAGAGACAGAAGGTGCTCGCAGAAGGACACAGTGTACGGTTCCCTTTATATGAAATGTGAAAATGCGGTGCCGAGAAGCTCCTCATCATTCATGGTCCCCCTGCAGCCACAGAGATGTCCGTAGAGTTCTCAAAGCGACTGCAGACCCTGAAGGAGAACATGAAGCGGCAGCTCCCACGGGAGGCTGGACCACAAAAGGGCCTGTGGACGCACTCTGGCAGCAGAGCCCGAGTCTCCAGACAAGGACGGGTCCCTACATCAAAATCTTGCAGGCCCAATGATGAAAACCATGTCCTCCCCGCTACCTGACATTCGTCTCTCCCCAAATGCACAAACGCTAAGGACTGACACCCAGGCTGAACACTGGTGTCCATGCAAACCCATTGTTTTTCGTTGATGTTCGTTGGTTTGTTTTTCTGGGACACCAGGAACTCAACATTGTGTAAAGACCTCAGGCCTCTATCTGTTCCCACGATGCGCCATCTGCATCTCCTGTTGTCAGATGCAGGGAGCACAGTTTGACGTGAAGAATCCAGAAAACTATACCCAGTGTGCCGAGAGCGACGGCCCCCTGGAGCTTGGGCAAATTCCTCGCTGTGTGTTCGCCGCCGTGCACTGAGGACGCCTCCCGTGGGTGCCCACGGGTGTTTTATATCTTGTCTGTTGGCACATCCGTCGGAGGTTTGTTCTAGGAACCCGGGACCAGAGAGGATGTGAGTAGTTTGAGGACAACCGTCCTCGGGTGGACAGAGGTCGTGGGTGCTTTCCCTACGGAGAGACGCCAACATTCCTTGAGAGGCATTTATGGAAATCATGATTTTAGGAAAGCCATACGTCTTCATCCCCACCTAAGACGAGATTGATGGAAACAAATATAGTGTGCAAAGTACCAGAAAAAAAAATTAAAAAAAAAATAAAACATCATTCAAAATGTCTGATTAGTCGTATTTTCCTAGGGTAGATTGCGTTGTTGGGGACAGACTCGTTGAGAAGGAAAGTCCCTGAAAAACACAGGGACGTGTGGTCCCGTTGAATTTAAAAGAAAACGTGTTTCAAAAGGTTGTGCCAGCAAGCCAGAACCCCCTCCCCTGGGTTTCTCTGACGGTATAAGCTTCCACAGTGGGACAACGTCAGCGGAACTGAACATTTTCCAGAGGAAATGTTCCTGTTCCTTGTAGATCCTCTCCTTGGAGCTCCAT